CAAGCATGGCTCGAGCCCCCGATCTCATCGTATCTCATTTTATCAAATCAAGCATAGTCAGATCTCCTCTATTTTTTCCCGGGATGTTTATCTGCAATTTTTTTATCCCTTTGTCCCTTTATGTAAATCAGAGCATGATCATAAATTCTCCAAGTCGCAATTTGTTTATAGCAACGAATTATCGACGCTTCTCTTAATATGTTGCGACACGTACATTTGTTTATAGCAGCCGGATTATCGGCGCTTTTGTTAACATACTGCGACACATATAGTCGTCAATGCTATTTTTTTTCCTAAATCGGGACATCATCATAGGTTTTCTAAATTGCAATTTGTTTAGGTACACAACAGGAATATCGGCGCTTCTCTTAATACGAATCATCGATTTCTATTGAAGAGCTATCTTTTCGCAGCTCTTCCTAGAAAAAAAGAAAAACCCTATTTCGCTCGGCAGCACATTTCCAAAGAACCATCAACGAAGTGTTCCCTTCTCTCCTCTACTCCGTACGAGTTCTCCCCACACACCCGCACTCTACTCGGAGTTCCTGGATTAGAACTGGCCTTGTATTCCTACTGGTGGATCTATATCCTTTTCCACGCGTAATGATACTATTGCATGTTTTCTTTCTTTTAAAGAGCATTCTATAATGCGTTGTAAACACCATCTGGCCAGTCACGAAACAATTGCAACAACTAATGAAAAGTATCAATAATATCATTGATTGATTTAAGAGCATCTTTGACAAATCTCGAAAAACTATTAATTCTCGTCCTATTTAAATTTAAAGTTATTTCTAAGTTATTCTTTTTCTATTATTATATTTCCCAATGGAGCCGCATACGTCGCCATTTTAATATAACATTTTCTGACTAATTGTTCTAATAAAAATTATTAAGCAGCAATAATTGTAACTGTAGTTAATTGCAACATAGTTGAATGCTCCATTTTTTTTAATTTTACAAAATTTTAAAAATCTGGTTTAATACTGGCTAATTTAATACGGAAAATTACTTATTTTAAATATTGAACTTCCGTTTCCGGTTAGATGAGCCGAAGTTGTGAATTTTTGAGAAGGAGAATAAAGTGAGAGAGTGAAGAGTGAAGTGAGAGAGAGAGAGAGAGAGAGAGAGAGAGAGAGAGAGAGAGAGAGAGAGAGAGAGAGAGAGAGAGAGAGAGAGAGAGAGAGAGAGAGAGAGAGAGAGAGAGAGAGAGAGAGAGAGAGAGAGAGAGAGAGAGAGAGAGAGAGAGAGAGAG